GGTAATGTTGTAAATGTGTGAACGTGTGTACAAGATTTTGTGTGAACGTGTTTTTGGTTCTCATGGGTGTATACTGATGAATTGCTGGGTCATATGGTAATTCTATGTTTAACCTTTTGAAGAACTGTTATAGTATTTTCAAAAGCAGTTGCATTCTCATCAGTAATGTATGGGAGTTCCAATATCTCACCAATATTTGTTATTGTCTGTCTCTTTGATTATAGCCATCCTAGTATGCATGAAATAGTATCTCATTGTGGTTTTGATTTGCATTTCCCTGCTGGCTAATGATGTTGAGCATCTTCTCATGTACCTTTTGGCTATTTGCATATCTTCTTTGAAGAAATGCCCGTTCAAATTCTTTGCCTATTGGTGTATTTGTCTTTTAATTGCTGAGTCATAGGAATTCATATATTATGGATACTAAGCCCCTAACCAGATATATGATTTGCAAATGTTTTCTCCCATTCTGTGGATTGCCTTTTCGCTCTCTTGATGATATTCTTAGAAGCATAAAAGTTTTTAATTTAATCAAGTCCAGTTTATTTTTTTCTTTGCTTGTGCTGTAGGAGTCTTCTCTAAGAAACCATTGCCTAATTCAAGGTCTTGAAGGTTTATGTCTACATTTTCTTCTAAGAGTTTTATAGTTTTAGTTCTTAGGTTTAAGCCTTTCATCCATTTTGAATTAAATTTTTTTTGAGTTAATTTTTTTAGATGGTGTGAGGTGAGGATCTAATAAATTCATCCTAGTACATGTGGATATCGAGTTGTCCCAGTACCATTTATTGAAAGTCTGTTCTTTCTCCTTTGAATGGTCTGGTACCCTTGTCAAAAATCAATTAACCATGTATGTATGGGTTTATTGGGACTCTCAGTTTCATTCCACTGATCTATTTGTCTATCTTTATGCCAGTACCACCCTGTCTTGATTATTGTAGCTTTTGTGGTTTTTGAAATCAGCAAATGTGAGTCCTCCAACTTCGTTCTTTTTCAAGATTGTTTTGGCTTTTCTAGATTCCTTGCAATTCCATGTGAATTTTAGGATCAACTTGTCAATTTCTGCAAAAAGCCAGCTCGGATTTTGACAGGGATTGTGTTGAAGCTGTAGATTCATTTAGGGAGTATTACTGTCTTAATAATGTTAAGTCTTCAGTCCACGAACATGGGATGTCATTCCATTTACTTAGGTGTTCTTTAATTTCTTTCAGTAATGTTTTATAGTTTTCATTGCACAAGTCTTGCACTTATCTGGTTATATTTTTCCTAAGTATTTTATTCTTTTCGATGCTATTGTAACTGGAATTGTTTTCTTAACTATTTTTTATTTTTTTAAAGATTTTATTTATTTATTTGACAGAGAGAGACAGCAAGAGAGGGAACACAAGCAGGGGGAGTGGGAGAGGGGGAAGCAGGCTTCCTGCGGAGTAGGGAGCCCAATGTGGGGCTCGATCCCAGGACCCTGGGATCATGACCTGAGCCGAAGGCAAACGCTTAATGACTGAGCCACCCAGGTGCCCCTTTATTGTTCATTTTTAGTATGTAGGACTACCGTTAATTTTTATATATGGATCATGTAACCTGCAACCTTGCTAAATTTATTAGTTCTAATTGTGTGTATGTTTGTGTGTTCTTTAGGGTTTCTATATGTAAGATCATGTCATCTACAAATAGAGATGGTTTTACTTTCTTCCTTCCAATCTGGATGCCTTTTATTTCTTTTTCTTGCCTACTTGCCCTTCCTAGAACTCCTCATACAATGTTGAATAGAAGGGTTGAGGGTGAGTATCCTTGTCTTGTTCCTGATCCTAGGAAAAAAGCTTTCAGTCTTTCACCATTAAGTATGATATTAGTTTATGTAACTGTTAGTAACTGTGGGTTTTTCATAGATGCCCTTTATCAGGTGGAGAAAGTTCCCTTCTATTCCTAGAATATTAAAAGGGTTTTGAATTTTGTCAAATGCTTTTCTTTTGTGTCTGTTGAGATGTTGAGATGATCATGTGTTTTTTTTCTCTTTTGTTCTATTACTGTGGTGTCTTGCTTTGATTAATTTTTTATATGTTGCACCAATCTTGCATTCCTGGGATAAATTCCACTTGGTCATGTATAATCTTTTTTAAATGCCGCTGGATTCAGATTGTTAGTATTTTTTGTTTTTTGAGGAGTTTTGACTGTGTATTCTTAAGCAATATTGATCTCTAGTTTGTTGTTGTTGTTGTGCTTTTGTCTGGTTTTGGTATCAGGGTAATACTGGCTTCATACAATGACCTGGGAAGTATGTCCTCCTCTTTTGAAAAGTTTGTGAAGCGTTGGTATTAATTCTTCTTTGAACTTTTAGTATAATTCACCAGTGAAGCCACTCGTCCTGGGCTTTTCTTTGTGCAAAGTTTTTTGATTACTAATTAAATCTCTTTACGTGGAATAGTCTATTCAGATTTTCTGTTTCTTTTCCAGTGAGTTTTGGTAGTTTCTGTTCTATTCTAGGAGTTTGCCCATTTCATCTCGATTATCTAAGTTGTTGCCATATGGTCATTCATAGTATAATCTTACAAATCTTTTTCTGTCTGTCAGACCAGTAGTACTCTTGATTTTTAAAGTCCTGCTAACATTAGACTATGTAATTCCCTGAATATGTTGTGCTGTTTTGGCTTTGCACATAGTATTCCCACTGCTTGAAATACCACTTTCTATCAGGACTGTTGGCTTTCAATCACCTCCTCATGAAGCCTTCCATGACTGCCTCAGACAGACTTGGTGCTCCCACCTCTGCGTTCCCAGTACACATTTCTCCCATTTAAGAACTTACCTCCATGATTGTAATTTTCCTCACTAAACCGAATTCTTAAAAGAATTCTTTCAACCAATGTTTATTGCATGTCTGTTTTGTTTCCAGTACTTTGCTCGGCTCTGGGGATAGAGTGGTCAGACAGGCATGGTCTCCGTTAATCTCTGATCTCATGGACCTTACAGTCTAGTGGGATGACAGAAAAATAAAGTCATTATGATTAGGGGAAGTCCTGTGAATGAGACAAAGGGCTCATACAGAGAATCTCAGGAAAACCTCTTTGAAAACATGGCTGAAACCCTGAAAATGAGAAGGGGAAAGCAGTGAGAAGAGCATTCCAGGGAGAGAGAAGCGTGTGTGTGAAAGGTCTGAGGTAGGAAAGCGCTTGTTTGTTCAAAGAACAGAAGCCTGGTGTGGCTAGTTCATAGGGAGGGAGGGCATCTATGAGAGAGACGGGGGCCCAATTTTGTGCTCAGCTGGTGCCTGGGAGGCCATGGTAAGGAGGCTGGATTTTATTCTAGGTGTCTTAGGAAGCCACTCTTGCCTCTGTTTAAAGAATGATTTGGAGTGAAACAGTAGTGGAAGCAGATTCTAGAATAGCAGTTAAAGTTTGTATGTTAGGTATGAATTTAGAATGGAGAAGGCCTAACTGAATACCACACGCATGCACACATGCTGTTGATTTGACTGCACAAAAATCTAAAATATCCCCATTCCGGGCGGGGGGGCAGTCAAAGACAGATGTCAAACTGGGGAAGAAATATTTGCGAGGCCCGTCAACATTTGCAAGTCTCCTTAATAGACAATAAAAAGACAACTCAATAGGCAAAAGATACGAACTGACAGTTCACCCAGAAAGAGAAAACACAAATGCCTATAAAATATGGAAAAGATACCTGACTTCACTCTTTTTTTTTAAAGATTTATTTATTTATTTGAGAGAGCGAGAATGAGAGAGAGAGAGTACGTGAGGGGGGGAGGGTTAGAGGGAGAAGCAGGCTCCTCACTGAGCAGGGAGCCCGATGCAGGACTCGATCCCGGGACTCCAGGATCATGACCTGAACCGAAGGCAGTCGCTTAACCAACTGAGCCACCCAGGCGCCCCCTGACTTCACTCTTTAAAAAAGGAAATGCAAATTATGAGAGCACAGTTTTCACGTGCCAGATTGGCAGTCGTGCAATTTAATAACGTTCGGTGTTGGTGAGACTGGAGAGAAACAGGAACTCTCACTTTGGTGGTGGGAACGTAAATTGGTTCAACTTCCCTAGAGAGTAATTTGGCAGTATTTATCAGAATTTGAAGTGGATACACGGGGCTCCTGGGTGGCTCAGTCGGTTGAGCGTCTGCCTTTGGCTCAGCTCATGATCCCAGGGTCCTGGGATTGAGCCCCGCGTCGGGCTCCCTGCTCGGCGGGCTCCCTGCTCGGCGGGAGGCCTTCTTCTCCCTCTTCCGCTCCCCCTGCTTGTGTTCTCTCTCTCGCTGTTTCTCTCTATCAAATAAATACATAAAATCTTAAAAAAAAAAAGTGGATATGCTTCTAGGAATTTATCCAACAGGTAAAAGACATTTTGGTTCATCCACACAAAGGAATACAATGCAGCCCTTATGTAGAATGGGACACCTCTTTGTCATTTGGTAAGGAAGGGTCACATATATATTTTCTAACGAGGACACATTTTTAAGCAAACAAAGAGGGGCGCCTGGGTGGCTCAGTCGTTAAGCGTCTGCCTTCAGCTCAGGTTATGGTCCCAGGGTCCTGGGATTCTGCTTCTGGACTCTGACCTGGGGCAAATCATGTGATTGGTTTGTGCTTGGGAGCCTTCATCTGTAAAATGGGAATGGTAATAGGAGCTGCCTCACAGCGTTGCTCTAAGGCGCAAATGACTTACTCCGTGTGATCTTGAGCACAGTGTAGACGTGGTTGCTAGTGTTACTATTGTTGTTGTTGTTACCCCTGTGACCCTGGCCGCTGCTATGACTAGCTTCTGCTCCTCCCCTCCTGTGTCAGGGGGACACCTGACCCATCCTAGGGGCTCAGGAAACGTGTGTGGGAGGCCAGAAGGGTTTAAAATTAATACAGGTTTAACTAGCCGGTTCATCTAGGAAGTGAAAACTTTTGAAAGGCCCTTTTTTAGCATTTGAAGAAATGAGGTAGTGAGGTGGGTAGCTTATGAGATTTGTTCATCTCTTTTTTTTTTAATTCCATTTTCTGCACAGGCCTGAAGGCATTGAACGACAGTACAGGAAGAAGTGTGCAAAGTAAGTATTTAACAGCGTGGGTTTCTCCAAGCGTAAGAAAGTAGACGCAATAATGTGTTCGGGAAAGAATTATGCGGATACAATTCTGTTGTATATTTATCCTTATAATCCCAACTGCCTTCGAACTTCAACTACACAAATACCAATATGCTCCTCGGACAGACTAGTCGAAGTCACATCTCTGACCAGCTGGTCACAGAAATGTTTTTGTTTTTTTTAACATAGTATCATTTTTTGAATAGAGGTGTAATTTATATATGACAAAATGTGCCCTTTTTTTCTTAAGTAATCCTTGTGCCCACTGTCGGGCTTGAACTCACAACCCCAAGACTATCACACGCTCTACTGACGGAGCCATCCAGGCGCCCCCCATATTTGCCTGTGTTAAGCATACAATTTGAGAAATCCCGACAGAAGCATGCAGTCCTGTAACATCACCACTGCCACGATGCAGGCCATTTCCCGGCCCCCATGTGCCCTTTGCAGTCAGTCCCCTTCTTTACCCTCCCCCTCCCCCCCCCCGGAGCTGCTGATCTGCCTTCTGTAGCTACGGTTTTGCCTTTTCTAGAAATGTTATTGCTTTTTCTAAAAGTGTTATCTAAATTCTACAACGTGTGTTCTGCTACATACAGTATGTATCTTTTATGTTTGCTTTCTTTCACTCAGCACAGTGCTTTTGGGTTTCAGCCAAGGTGTTAGATTTATCACTAGTTTGTTCCTCTTTGTGGCTGAGTAGTATCCATGGCACCAGTTTTGCTCTTCACCCGCAGAAGGGCATTTGAGTTGCTAAGGGTTTTGACTATTCTGAATAAAGCTGTTATGAACACTCTAGTATAAATCTTGGTGGGGACGTGCGTTTTCTCTTGGAGTGGAATTGCTGGGTCATACGGTAAATGGAACATAGCATAATGTAATCCAGACTTATTTATAAAGCCTATTGTAGGCCCACAGACCCAAGATCTTTAGAGACTGTTCTTTAAAGCTATGTATACATGTCCGGCTTTAGGCCGTTAATAGTGAGAATACTAAACTACAGTAAGGTTCATCTTGTTGATGGCATGGCAGTTACATCTCGGCTCCCAGAAGGCTCATGCTGGAACAGTCAAGGCACGGAAATGGCTAGGAAGGCATTTTAGTTCTCAGGCACATTAGAATTGTTAACTTCGTTTCATGTCTTTTTTTTTTTTTTTTTTTTTAAGATTTGGTTTTTAAGTAATGTCTGCACCCAGCGTGGGGCTCAAAGTCACAACCCCAAGATCAAGAGTCACACACTCCACCGACTGAGCCAGCCAGGCGCCCCCCATTTGATCATGTCTTATGAGTCTACTTCATGTAGCTGAAGAAGTAGAATAAAACTGACCGACCAAAGAAAGTAGGACGATTACTCCACAGAGTAGTTTGCTAACCACTGCAGTGGAGCCTTTATACTTCCCTCGACACTACAAAAACCCAAACAAAACCAGACAAAACCCCCACGCTAGGTACCCAGACTTCTTGGAAGAATGGCAGCAGTTTTTTTTTCCCCCCTAAAGATATATCTGTTTATGTGTGAGAGAGAGAGGGGAACCCAAGCAGACTCCATGCTGAGTGCAGAGCCTGACGCGGGGCCCAATCCCACAACCCTGAGATCGTGACCTGAGCTAAAACCAAGAGTTGGATGCACCACCCAGGCACCCCAGCAGTTTTTTTAAAAATACATATTTTTAGGAAACTTTTATTATTTTAAAATTTTTATTTATTAAGTAATCTTTCCACCCAACGTAGGGCTTGAACTCACAACCCCGTGACCCAGAGTCGCATGCTCTCCCAACCGAGCCAGCCAGGTGCCCCAGAATGGCAGCAGCTTTAACTGGAAAGCAAACAGCGGCAGGGGCCAGCCTTTCCCAAACTTGTCCAACAATAAGAATCACTTGGGATGCTGAGGAAAGTGACAGGTTCCCAGGCCTCAGCTCCCCAATTTGCTGAATCAGGATCTTCGGAAGGAGGGACCTGGGAATCCAAGCAGCAGTTGTAACAGATTCTTACTTGTTAAAGTGATTCCTCAGTGATTCTTACAAAGTAGTTTTGGGAAACACTGGAAGGAGTGAATCCTTAGTTTATGCCACAAACAAACTGTTCCCCAGCGTCAGAGCGCGCTTTGGGAGTCAGTGTTTCGGGGATTTGGCTTGTGAGCTTCCCAGAGATTGGCTCTGCTCTTTGCAGGTGCGGCCTGCCACTCTTCTATCAGTCCCAGCCCAAGAACGCCCCCGTGACCTTCATTGTGGATGGAGCAGTGGTCAAGTTCGGCCAGGGCTTTGGCAAAACGAACATCTATACTCAGAAACAAGAGCCTCCTAAGAAGGTAATTATTGAAGGAGACTGACCGGTTTACATAGCTACGAATCTATGTATTGCCCTCCGTCTTTAAATAAGATTATAATGAGAAAGTGTCCTTTATGGGTGCATTGTTTATTAAGAGGACGCCATCTTTATGGGCAAGCTGATGTTACATGTAACATCCAGCATGCGTTCTTTTTTCTTTCCTACGGCTGTCCCAGGAGTAAAGCTAGAAATTGTATGGTTTTGATTCACATTGATTTCCTTTGAAATGTCTTCTTTTTTCAGTGTGGACAGTTAAAATGAAAGGAAGGAGGCTCATTTTTAAATATACTTTTAAAAGCCTTGACGGCAAATGTTAGAAATATAGAATCCAAATAGAAAAAAAAAAAACAAACCACCCCATTGGCACTTTTAGATAGGCCAGCCTGTCCCAAAGAGGTGTGTCCTCCCCCCCTCAACCGCCTCCCCCTGCAACGAGTCATGTGCACGCGCCCACGGGTGGACACACGCAGGAGCACGCGCGCAGCTCACAGAGCCTCTTGCGGTGAACGAGACTGATTCCTCCTCCTGTGACTCCAGGTCATGATGACCAAACGGACAAAAGACATGGGCAAGTTCAGCTCCGTCACGGTGTCGACCATTGATGAGGAGGAAGAGGAGATCGAGGCTGTGAGTGTTTCTGCTCTCAAGGGAACTGGATTGGGGGGTGGGCCTGGAAGGAACGGGGACTCTAAAACCAGCCCATTCGAGTAGCGGAATAATTAGAAATGCTGCTCCCAGGGGTGCCTGGGTGGCTCAGTTGTTGAGCGGCTGCCTTCGGCTCAGGTCATGATCTCAGGATCCTGGGATCGAGCCCCGCATCGGGCTCCCTGCTCCGTGGGAAGCCTGCTTCTCCCTCTCTCACTCCCCCTGCTTGTGTTCCTTCTCTCACTGTGTCTCTCTCTGTCAAATAAATAAATAAAATCTTAAAAAAAAAAAAAGAAAGAAAGAAACGTTGCTCTCAGGCCTTAGTCTGCTAGTAAGAAACTACAGGAGCCTGGGCTGGTTCCTGTCTCCCTGGATCCCAAGGACATCCATAAAATGAGAACCGGGGAGTTGAACTAGATCAGTGGTGTTTTCCTACTGTGTTTTGAGATGCTTTCATGGGGCAAATCCCTCATCCCTCTTGAGTGTAAAGCCTATTGGACTCCACAGTTTTGGGTCCCATCCAGTCCGGCTCGAATGGTTTATGAGGCTCTCCTCAGCAGTAGGAGCAATTAACCTTTATGGTCCTTCAGTATAATGAGGTTTACAGGGAGATGCTATCGGTTATTTTTCAAATGGTTTAGGCCGAAACCTGAGTTCTCCTGGATTATTGAACAGCTGATGAGTTTAAAGGGAACAGAGTCCATTTCAGGAATAATTGTGAGATCTGAGTAGCACGAATTGCTACCTACAGTCTCTGACTCGTTGGTACTGCCGGGTTACGGGTGCTGCTTTTCTTCCCCCAGAGAGAAGTCGCCGACTCCTATGCACAGAATGCCAAAGTGATTGAAAAGCAGCTGGAGCGCAAAGGCATGAGCAAAAGGCGGCTGCAGGAGCTGGTGAGTGGCCCAGGGCGGCAGGGATTTCTCGGTCTGAGAGACCCTCCAACGCTCAGGCAACTCCTGCAGGAAGTCTGGGGGGTGCGGGGGGGCACCGGTGTAGTTGGCGGCCAGCTGTCTAACCCTGGCCTGTAATGGTCGGTATACCCTGTCTAGTGACCACGGGCTCCAGGCCCGAAGTTAGAGTACTTGTCAGCTCGCCCTGACCAGAATGGTACTTGAACCTGCTACCTGGGGTCCGAGGTCAGGAGGTGAAGGTCGGGGTTTGTGGACGCGCTCCCAGGATACGAGGGCGTGCAGCAGTGCTACATCGGCAGCACCAGGACGGGGGCCTCATTGCTTCCTAAAGCCCCGGGGCCACCCCGACTTGCTGTGTCAGTCACGGGCTCCTCGTAGTGCGTGCACACTTCATGTTTGATGGCGCCTGCAAGCTGGGTCTTCTTGGTCATAATGCACTTACGCTAGCTCTTTAAAATTGGACATCAGTGCATTGGTGCCTCATCAGAGGGTGTGCTGGTCCCTTCTAATGACCAGAGAGGATTCTTCGATGACAGAGGTGGTGGGTCTTGGGAGCGCCATTGCCTTGCCTTCGTGGTTGAGAGCCGTGCCTATCACATTTGCCGAGGGGAAGGACCAGGGCTTGCTTCTTTTTTTAAGTCTCCTATTTGTCAAGAACAGATTTGTAATTTATAAAATGCCACAGAAATGCATTTGCCTCGAGTGCACTTATTAAATTATTTTATTTTGTTATTACTCTGGCAAATGACTGTGTGAGTTTCTGAATGCTAACTCTCGATTTTTATGTGTATCTTGCACGACCCAGCAACCAACAGTTCGTGGACGGCACAACCTGAAGTAACACCGTTCTAGAACGGTGTCTCTCTTCCTGTTCTGCCAGGCATAGGATAGTGGTATACCACGGTATTCACTCCCTCGGCCCTTGGGGGGGCCTGGGGCTGGAGGAGCCCTGCGCTCATCACCTTCGATGGTGGCCTTTTACCGTGCAGACACCATCGTTCTCTGTACCATAATATCAGAAAGGGTGGAAGGCGGTTGCCAGAGACTCATAACGACCTGCCAACCACTGTTCTAGTTTCTGTACTAACTGAACACCAAAGGAGAGTGTTTGGGCAGGTAGAAGAAGGAAGGAAAGTCAGAATTTCATGGCAGTACTTTCCTTCCTTTCCAGGCGGAACTGGAAGCCAAGAAAGCAAAGATGAAGGGGACCTTGATTGACAACCAGTTCAAGTGATCAGGACCCTTCTCTCAACCCAGACCGGAGGCAGGCGTTTAGAGGAGGAGGAAAAAGAACCATTTCTTGACTCCATGGGCCACGTTTTTGCCCCAGCAGAAGGCTTGCCATTGCTTCCCATCGATTCCTCCTACTTTTGGTGAGGTCTTTGAGTCCATCTGACCTGCTTTCTAGAGATGGGCTTTCTAAATCTTTCTGTATATAGGTCTTCTGTACTATTTTTTGTCCATTTGATATAAACTTCTTCAGCCGTGTGGAAACTCTATGAACACATCAGTGCTCGAATGTCTCTCGTTTCTAAAGTAGCTATTCTTATTCCCTCTTCAAAGTTAATAAAATGTTTATAGATTTTTGAAAAAAGTAGTATGATGTGTCAGAAAAAGTGGCATGGATTATATTTAAAGTTACAGCAACTCTGATTCTTTTAAGTGACTCTATTCTTAGATGGGCAGGAATTGGCTAGGGTTTGAATCTCTCTACTGTCAGAAAAGAATCCATGAAAAGCCAGAATCTACATAAAGCTTCCTTTAACTTCACGTTCAGAGAAACTTCCCTGGTAACAAGCTACAGAAATGATCCCTGAAAGTATAGTCTTGCTTCCTTTACTTCAAATGGTAAAGTTATAGGTGAGTTATTCCTTATCGGATTTTGTACTTAAAGAAGGAACAGCCAGATTAGAGTAAGGGAGGTGGGTAGGGTAGCCCAGATCTAAATGAAAATGGGGTCTCATTAAGCAACCCAAGGTAACTACCATCCTGTTAGGCGGCTACAAAGAGTACGGCTTCCATATGTGGGTATGGGGAGAGACCTGGAGTAAGAGATGATACTGAGACAAAACAAACGTATCTGTTGGCTAGCTTGTATTTCACATTTGCTATTTGTAGAGGAGTGTTGTCTATTTAAATATTTAGGGGTGCCGGGGTGGCTCAGTCAGTTAAGCATCTACCTTCAGCTCAGTCATGATCCTGAGGATCAAGCCCCGCGTCGGGCTCCCTGATCAGCAGGGAGTCTGCCTCTCCCTCTCCATCTGCCCCTCCCCAACTCATGCTCTCTCTCATTTTCTCTCACGCTCTCTCTCTCAAATAAATAAATAAATAAATAAAATCTTTAAAAATAAAAAAAAAATATTTAACGTCACGCTGTTTCAGTGATAGCAATATATGGAGTGTTACATACCTGTTTTTATCTCTTCACCCGTATTATAAGCTGTTGGGGCCAGAAGAGGCTTTTAACCTCCGTGTACTCTCTACAGTGGGTTGCACTTAGCTTTCGCCCAGGACATGTATGTAAGGTGCTGTTGGGAAATAATAGGGCATTTTTCTTTGCTTTTTTCCTGCCTTCCTTATTTGGAAGGCAAAGTAGCTTGGAGTAGGGGGGTAGATGTGAGCTAGCAAGAACTGGGAGAAAGAGGCGTGGCCGGGGTCCTGGGAAAGCCCGGGTGGGGCTGTGTTACCATCTTCCCAAGTTATTCTCCTGCATCCAGTGAGGTCTTTGCAACGGAGTCTTCCTCTTCCCACCTCATTTCCTGTCCTCGTTCCGAAAGGTACTTCAGCAGCATGTGGGTAGCCAACCATAATCTCACAATTCCTTGACCTCCCCTCCAAACAGTGACCTTTTACCTTCATGCCACTGTAGCCACAAACTCCCATGACCACAGCCTGGCTGCCATGTCCACAACCTCTGAGATCCAAGATTCTAGAGCGATCCAAACTTCTGTGATCACAGCCCCCTAACATTGCTGCTCTCATGCTCTTACTTCCACTAAACCCGTTCTGTTTGTTTTTAGATGCGAAGGGTGGTTATTTTATCAGTACTTATCAAAAATAGCAGTAGTTTACCGATGAGGATAATACTCTTTAATGGGTACTTACTCTGTGTCACGTGCCATGGAAAGCACTTTATGGGTATTATCCAAATCTAACCAAGACGACAGTCCTATGAGATAGGTCTAACTGTTCTCATTCTCATTTCACAAACGAGTATCTGAGGCTCCGAGAGCGTAAGTTTCCCAAGATCCCATAGCGAAGAAGTGATAAAGCCAAAAATCTGACTATAGAACTAGGCTGAATTGCTTCTCCTGTGGGATTTTTTTTTTTAATCTATTATTGAGAACAGATAGCAATTGCATTTTGAGAAACCAAGTAAAATGCGATGTAGAGACACTTACATAAAGGACTCCCTGTAGCAGATGTGTCGTCACCTTTCCACATATTTTCTGAAATACGTGTCCTTAGATATTAACCCTAAACCATTTTAACATCTGGTTCAAATTACGCATTTTTGGGCGCCTGGGTGGCTCAGTTGGTTAAGCGACTGCCTTCGGCTCAGGTCATGATCCTGGAGTCCCGGGATCGAGTCCCACATCGGGCTCCCTGCTCGGCAGGGAGCCTGCTTCTCCCTCTGACCCTCCCCCCTCTCATGCGCTCTCTCTCTCATTCTCTCTCTCACATAAATAAATAAAAAAAATCTTCAAAAAAAAAAATTACGCATTTTGCTTCGTCTTTAAGACTGCAAATCATGATGTCATTAGCCCCAAATAAACATGTGCTCTTTAATGTTTGCTTCTTTCATATGCCATGGTTTCTCTATTCTCTTGTAGGATTTTAGCAGCAAATACAGTGTTTTAATGTTAGTACTAAGAGGGGCGCCTGGGTGGCTCAGTCATTAAGTGTCTGCCTTCGGCTCAGGTCATGATCCCACGGTCCTGGGATCGAGCCCCACATCGGGCTCCTTGCTCTGTGGGGAGTCTGCTTCTCCCTCTCCTTCTGCCTCTGTCCCTGCTCATGCTCTCTCTCTCTGTGTCTCTGTGTCTCAAATGAATAAATAAAATCTTAAAAAAAAAATGTTAGTACTAAGAGCCATATTGAAATTTTGGAGACTCTTACTCTATTTTCTTTTGTGTTTGTGCAGATTGTCAACTGTTATAAAATAGTAAAATGTTATAAAATGTTTCCACTAATAATTAGTGACATTTGGAAGTGTAATTCTACCACATAAGAGAAATTGAAAAGCTTTTTAAAAACTAGCTTGTCTCTACCATTTTGCGATCCTTATCACTGTGGACCACCTCCTTTTCTTTTTTTTTTTTTTTTAAAGATTTTATTTATTTATTTGAGAGAGAGAGAGAATGAGAGATAGAAAGCACGAGAGGGAAGAGGGTCAGAGGGAGAAGCAGACTCCCTGCTGAGCAGGAAGCCCGATGCGGGACTCGATCCCGGGACTCCAGGATCATGACCTGAGCCGAAGGCAGTCGCTTAACCAACTGAGCCACCCAGGCGCCCGACCACCTCCTTTTCTTAAGGAAAAAGCTTCCCTTTTTAATTTCCTTGATGTTTTATTTTGCTGCTGCTTTACTTCTCTGACTACTCTGTTTTTTGTAAGATTTTTAAAAAGATTTTATTTATTTATTTGTCAGAGAGCACAAGCAGGGGGGTGGCAGGCAGAGGGAGAAGCAGGCTTCCCGCTGAGCAAGAAGCCCAATGTGGGACTCAATCCCAGGACCCTGGGATCATGACCTAAGCCGAAGGCAGACACCCAACCCACTGAGCCACCCAGGTGTCCCCAGCTACTCCATTTTTTTACTCAGTTATAACAAAGCACAGTCCATTACACTTGAGCTTTTAGTAACTGATACTCCTCCAGGAAAACAAAAACCATCACTCATGGTGAACTAAACCTGCTTCTATACTTCACAGAACCTCGATCCTCCTGTTTTCTCCCAGTATTGCCACTCTGTCACTACCCATCGTCTTTCTGACCTAGCCTGATCCTGTGGTTGGGGATCTGAAGTCCTCTCACCTTCAACCCTTCTGACCTTGAGTTTGTTTGTTCTTTTTTTTTCTTTTTAAGATTTTATTTGTTTATTTGACAGAGAGAGCGAGAGAGGGAACACAAGCAGGGGGAGTGGGAGAGGGAGAAGCAGGCTTCCCGCGGGGCAGGGAGCCTGATGTGGGGCTTGATCCCAGGACCCTGGGATCATGACCAGAGCCGAAGGCAGACGATTAATGACTGAGCCACCCAGGCGCCCCGTTTGTTCTTTTTTTTTAAGTAGGCTCTGTATGCCCAACGTGGGACTTGAACTCACGACCCTGAGATCAAGGGTCATATGCTCTACCGACTGAGCCAGCCAGGTGCCTCTGACCTTGGGTTTTTTTACCTTAAAGTCTTTGAATCCTTTTAGACGTACAGAAAAGTTCCGGAGATAGTCCAGAGAGTTCCTGTATACTCTCCACTCAGGTTCCCTAATATTAACATCTTATATAATTCTTTGGGCTGAATGTGTCCTCTCCAAAATTCCTATGTTGAAGCCCTAACCCCTAGTGTGATGGGATTTGGAGATGGGCCTTTGGGAAGTAATTAGGTTTAGATGAGGTCATGAGATGGGACCCTCATGATGGGATTAGTACCCTTAGAAGAAAAGACCAGAGAGCTCTCTCTCTTTCTACCTGCCTCTCTCTCTACCACATGAAGACATGGCAAGAAGGTGGCCATCTGCAAGCCAGGAAAAGAGCTCTCACTAGGAACTGAATCAGCTGGCACCTGGACCTTGGACTTCCCAGTCTCCAGAACTGTGAGAAATAAATGTCTGTTGTTTACTCCACTTGGTCTATGGTATTTGGTTATAGCAGCCCAAGCAGACTAATATATGTAAAACCATAGTACAGTGCCCAAACTAAGAAGTTAACATTGGTACAATAATCTTAAGCCACACACTTTATTTGGATTTCACCAGCTGTTCCACTATGTCCTCTTTCTGTTCGAGGACCCCATTCACGATCACACACTGCATTTAGCTGCCATGTCTCTTTAAGTCTCCTCTGATCCATGACAGTTTCTCAGTGGTATCTTGTGCTTTTGAATTTGCATCTCCCTAATGACAGCTGATGTCTTTGCAACCCTGCTTTCAAATCTTTGGGTAAATACCCAGAAGTAGGATTTCTGGATCATACGGTAATTCTATGTTTAATTTTTTAAAAAGATTTTATTATTTACTTATTTGAGAAAGAGAGAACAAGTGGGAGGGAAGGGCAGAGGCAGAGAGAGAAGCAGACTCCCCGCTGAGCAGGGGGCCCGATGCAGGGCTCGATCCCAGGACCCCGGATCATGACCTGAGCCGAAGGCAGATGCTTAACTGACTGAGCCACCCAGGTGCCCCACAATTATTGATGTTGAGTAACTTTTCATATGATTCTTGGCCATTTGTATAATATCTTTGGAGAAAGGTCTAGTCATTTTAATTGGATTATTTGATTTGTTGTCTTAAACATATTTTTATTAGCTAATTTTCCATCCGTATGTCTTTTTTTTTTTAAGATTTTATTTATTAGAGAGAGAGAGAGAGCACAAGAGGGGGTAGGGTC